AAATTGGTAACAAAACACTGTAATAAATATTTTATAAAAAAACAATATTTCATAATAAACAAAATAGAAAATATATACGTATGTGAAAGAATGCCTTGAAGAAGTGTTCCTAATTTCATTCTTTTAGTTAGTAAGAAAGGAAAAATTTTCATAATCTTCTTTTATATGTTTAAAAAAATATTTTATTTCCGAAACTAGAAAAAATACTTTCAATGCAGAGTCGAATCATGAATTTATATAAAAATTACGTAAAAAATTTTTTTGTTTATAGTGTATATATGCAAATGTGCACAACGCACGAAATCATCCAAAATGCTCAATTCGGATATTATTAATACTTTGGTGGTGAAAGACAGAAGAAAGAGCCTAACAAATTTTGATATAGAGCAGAGCTCAACTTAAAGGTGCTATACGATAATTATGATTGATGATAAATCATTTTGAGAGAAGAAATGCTTCTAGTGATGAGCAATATTTATTTTATAATTATATGGACCAAAATTGAAAATCTAATGCCATCCGTTGGCGAACTACTCGCGAACTGTTCGCCAACAGCAGTAAAGACTCTAGCGAACTGCGATCAGGTTACAGCGAGCTCGCTCGCAATAGCGAACAGTGTTTGCTCGGTAAACAGTACATCAAAGAACTTGAAACGTACGCGGACGTATTGAGAGCCGCAAGCACCAAGCGAACATGTCTGAAACTGCTAGCGAGCTGCTCGCCAGCAACAGTGCGGATGCGATGCAATTTCTGTTAGCGAGCAACTGCAGTTCTGCCCAGTGTGAACCCAGCATAATATTCTGTGCGAGCTGTAAAAAACACAATATTAACTCTTTAATCTCGGAAACATCTTTTGTGTCATTTACCAGCAATTTATTTACGAAATAGTGAGTGAAATATCACTTCAAATAAAACGATATAGCATTGCAAATAATCATTCTGTTTAAATATTAATAATTAATATTTAGCATAAAATTTTGTTGATTATATTTCTCTAATACATGACTTCATTTAAAGCAATCACCAAGTATAGTATATAAAAGTTAATGATACATAATTTCATTCTAGCAATAAAAAGTTTAGTTTATGTAAATTATCCCGAATTATTCGAATAACAATTCGATGAGTGTATTCGATGATAATGAGCGTCAACTGACTCACGACTGCCTCCATCCTCAAGAATTTCTTCTTTTGAAATTTTATTATTTCCTCTTACGTCGTTATATTATATTGTATCAATACTATATCTACGTTCATTATAATTATAAAAACAATTATAAAATATTTTAGCTGTGAACTCAATTTAAATATGATGTCTCCTTACAAGGAACAGTCGAATAGAAAGGGTTAAAATACTAAAATATATAACAAAAAAAATTTTAATTTATAAAGAGTAGAGTTTATCATTTTTGACATAGATATACATATGCATGTAATAATAAAACGCTTTTTTATTTACATTTTTTATTAACAATATTTTTAATTTATACACATATACACAAATGTTAAATAAAAAAAAAAAAGAAAATAGTAGACATGGCGTGATTATATTGAAAATGATATGTTGCCTTTAACTGAAATTTTTATAATTCTGTTATTTGATTGTTTATCAATGGTTGACTTTTATTATAGTTTTAGCCAGTGACAAGCATAAAGAGTCTCCCACACTTTAATCTATTTTTTAATACGTGTAGATTTCTGAGACAAAAAGACATCTTTTCTTTTGGTTCCTTGTTTCATAATGTTTTCAAATGTAAACAAAAAAAGGAAGATATATTTTTTACATCTTCGGAATGAAGTAATCATAAAAACATTTTTAAATGTAATAATCAATTCTAATCAACGAATGACAGAACGAAATCATCATTTTAAATAGAAGTAATATACTACATACACTTAACAAGAAAGTATACAATGACGAAACAAAGCGTTATAATAGATTCTGAAAATCACGAATTTATCTAACTTTTGCTGTCAACTCACTAGCGTCATCATAAATTCTATTTGTTGTTAATAAGCTGCAATATGTAACTAGACTGATTATAATAAGATAGATTAGGAGAGGAAATTTGGATCCCTTACCCTGTTTTTAATCTAATTTTAAAAATTTTAAAATTGTTGAAAGACAACTTTTTTAAATAGAAATACTTTGGTGAATATATGTAGATTTATGCAGTGAATAATATATGTAGATTTTTTTTAGACTATATATAGATGTATAAATCTTTTCCACTTATATTGTTCGTGAACGATTTACTTCACAATATACTACAGCTTGCATATATTTTCTATCTCCAGTAAGAGAAATTACATTGACAATTCTATTATCAATATGAAACAAATGTTTGCTTGACTAATTAATTATCTTAATTTATCTTGTTTGTTGAACTCAAAATTGTTCGGAGATAAAATTTTAATGGAAAATTCCAACAGGTACAATTCGAAGTATTAGCAATTTATCTTTTAAATTACGTTGTATTCTTCTATATTTTTGAAACATTCGATACAAATGTTCTTGTCACTCACCGAACATATCGATATGATCTTTACTATCCTCATCGATAATGTTAATCATACTTAAAGAATTCTACATAATCATGAGTCATAACGGCTTTTTCTTCGTAACTTGAATATTAAATACTATCTTGCATCTGTCATCGTTAGATTAAGCAATAAATTGATGTTGTATTAAAATTATTGGCTGACTCATTACGAAATAATTATGCAAATACTCCAAGACATTGCTTTAGCCATCATAGATTTATCTTTAAAAGGAAATACCTTGGGAAACTTTAAAAAATACTCAAACGATACTTTAAAATTCATTTATTGAACATGACATAAAAATCACGATATATGATAATGATGAACCGAGTCTATTGTAAGCTTTCAAACTTTAGACTTATTATTCATTTCGCCTGTAATATTTTACTTGAACATCTTAACAAACACTAACGGATTCGTTATTTTATACATGTATGATTATATTCATGGAATGTGCATCTGTCGTCTCGCTTTCTTTTTTTATTTTACATTATATCCATGTACATAATATACGCTCAAGAAACAGGAAAAGAAAGAAAAAGAACGACAACAAGAAAAACAGCTTTTTAACATTCGCTTCGTATTGTACATTTTCTTCTTCCTGTAATCTTTAAGCTTTTGAAAAATTAAAATGAAAAACTTGACGATTTAACCAGCAATTTCATTTTCGACGAAGTTTCAACGATGGAGAAGAGCGAGTGTCGCGAGTTTTCAATATCAAAAGCTGCTATTTGTAAAAAATAAAAAAAAAAAAGGAAAGATAAATATACAACATAAAATTAAAAAAAAATATATATTATTGGGAGAATAATAGAGATTTGTGGTGGCATTAAACGAACAAGTTACCGGAAAGAAACCAACAGCCGTTCGTTAAGTCTATCATGTTATATAGATGCTATATTTTTATGCGATCCTGGGGATTTTGGCAGTGACATTCAATCGTCATGATTGAGGAGACAGTCTTTGAGCGATTAATGATACTACGAATAATAAATCGATATTGACAAATAATTTAAACGATAATAATCGTGTAAATGGTTTCATACCGCGAAAATAGTCGACAGAATATAAAATGAAGAGCATATCTTCCTTACAATACGAAGGCATTTATTTTTATTTTTTTCAGGCCAGTTTAAAAATATGATGTAAAACATGTAAAGTAGTACGTTGACGTATATGCTTGTAAACATGACAGAAATTCGTTTATAATGTTCATTCGTCAAATGACTGAAAAATCAATTGTACATTCATATGAAAACGTTCGTAATTTTTTTACCGATCTCTCGTAATTCTCATCTCCTCAATCATGCGGTAAGAATCAGCTCAAAATATCCCGAGTGAGGTATAACGAATAACCATAACGATAGTTGCGATAGTTATACAAAAAATAGTTAAGTCGAATAATGTGTATGTGTGCATATATGTATATACATATATATACATATATATACATATATGCACATATACAGACACGCGTGTGCGAGCGTGTATGTGTACAAATGTATACGTATGTACATATTCAAATATATATAAATATATTTATATATATTCATATAGCTTTATAGTTGCGCGAACATTGTGACCGTAGAATGAAAGTGGATCGAGCTGAACCAGATAAACTATAAGATATGTACGACTAAGCGTTTTACGAATTGAATTGAAAATTAACAAATATCGTCTAGATGTTTTTCAATCAACGTGGAAAATATTACGATACATATAAAAAGATAGAACGTGTCAAAGCTCCCAATCCACGTTTACTCCGCGGTCCGAGGCCGCCGTAATAAATAGATCGTATTATCTCGTCAATCTCTAAAACTCTAATAACACCATTGTTTCTAATCAGTACAAATCAATCAACGAAATATTGGAACAAAATTTCGCGAAGGTTCGCACAAAATTCACGAACCTACGCCCGTTCCAACATTCCGATAAGCACCACATTTTTAACGTTCGATCGGTAATTCTACTTTTTTTGTTTTCTAAAGCAGTCTTACATATAACGGCAATTTTTGCGAATTAGTCCTCTCATTCTTATTTGATCTGATCTTTTTCTTCGTTCTTTTCTTCCTTCCCTCGTCCGTATTCGCTCGAAAGGAAAACAAAAAAGGAAAAAAGCCTAAGAAAAAGGAGAAAAAGCATAGGACAAACATCTTGGAAATTAAACGTATAGGATGTACAAATTGTTCAAGTTAAACAAGTAACAATTTTTTAGAATTCGATATTTATGAACTCGATCATTCCTTGGAACACAAAATAATCATGATTGGACCAAAAATGAAAAAAAAATCGGTTTGGTTTTTATCAACAACATCGTTATTGAACGAAGAAAAAATTTGTCTCTCTCGTTATCATAGGACGCGCATTGACTGACGGAAAATCGAAGCGTTCGTACGAATTTTCGCAGTAACAATATTTTTCCAACTTCCTCAATTTTTTATTTTTTTTTTTTCTTCTTTTATATGCTCGTTGCAAAATAATTCTACCTTATAGCTTACAGTATCACAGAGTTACACGCGGTATCGTATATAATTGCTCCCACTTCGTAATTTCGCAAAACGATAAGGAAAGCGCGTAATTGTCTTATTGTAAAATTTAAAATTGCGGTAATAGATGGACGCAGACGATGTCACTATGCTACACTTTCTTTAAAAATACGAACTACCATTTTATGCGGATTTAATACTATCGAATTTGGCTGCAATCAATCGAATTATATTATCGATGAAATTCTATCGTTGGAAAAAGTAGGACAATCGAATCATACTTTTCTTTGCTACTTTTTATCGCGTGTGACAATATTTAACAAAAGGAAAGGAAAAAAGAGGAAAGAGGACAGGGAAACGTTAATTTTTTACCTGCAGAGAACTGCACGTAAGGCGTCTCTACGCTTTTGTTCGATGTCTTTGAAAGACGTCGTTCTGCGTCCAATTGCCGAGGACATTTTCGTTTTTCTATCAGGTTTATTTGTTAAAAAGATTACTCAACGTACAACAGATTAACAGATCGCTTATCCCGACGGAACTAATTATTATACATAGTATAAAAAAAAATTTCGTAACGACTAATCAAAACAGCAAAAATCTAGTATCTCGGCGCAGGATAGAGGGAAATCGCTATAATACACTTCGATACAAACTACGAGGATTTGTTTAAAAAAAATATACCTTTCGCGATATAATCTAGGAGAAAAGCGTCTCGTATCCATTGCAAATAAATTTATTTCGAAACGATACCGTAAGAAATATGAATTAATCGGGGGAGGAAATTCGAAACGAGCAATTTTCGCACGAGAGCACAAAAAAAAAAAAAAGATGAAAAGTAAAAAAGAGTATCGTTTCAAAGACAAAATATTTGCTCGCGTGTTAAAATTCTTTGAATTTTACACGAGATAAAGTTCAACGAAAACTTCAAATAAATATTCACGCGTATAAGTACAGGTCGCTCGAAGAATATACGATTAAAATAAGTAAGTCTTTTCTTAGGCTCCGTTCTTTTACTAGCTCACCTATGTTATACGTATACACGTAATGCGCATTTACGCCTTGGCAGTTTTTGCGCATACGCACGTATATTCCCTTTGGAGACAGCGAGTAATCTTAACGATGAATACAAGCGTTTCCGGTTGTCGTATGCGAGAACCTTTACAGGAACTCCTTTGACTTCGACACGAGTTACACCTCGCTTAATCACTCCGTTTTTCTGCTTGTCCTAATATTTTAAAAACATATTTACCACAGTTACAATTTGATTGGCTGAACATTAAACGAATTATAAAAGGAAGATAAGAATCTTATAAGTAAATGTTTACTACGAAGAAACTCAAACGAAATGGAAATTTTGTTGCTAGTTGCGCTACGTCTCTAAGAGAAAAAAAAAAAAATGGGGAGAGAGAGAGAGAGAGAGAGGGAGAGAAAGATATATATATATTGTATATGTACACATATAGAAAAAAGGAATAGAGTACGAACAATTTTGATTATTCTAGTAACCAAATTAAAAAAAATTTTAAAATAATAAGAAACGAAGGTTATGTAATGTTGTGAGCGCTTGTTTCTAAGATTTTATGCGCGCAATAATATATGTACAATAAAGGAACTAGCTTTTTAGGTCTGGACACAATCCTATACCGATCCCGACTGGCCATGAACCCCTTGCGTACGAAATGAACGTGAAATGAACGCGAAAAGAACGCGAAATAAACGCAGTCCAACGTACGCGCCAGTGTCGATAACGACGAATTCCATTGTGATTATGTACCTCTCTTTGGATCCTTCTTGTTCCTCGTTCCCGCTGCTTATCCTTTGCTCTCAGCATGCTTATTAAAAAAAGCTTCCGCATAAATAGGACGAAGGCTCGGTTCTATTCGCTCGCCAAGTAGTTCATTCTTTATATCTTATTCTCCTTTTCTTCTCTCTCTCTCTCTCTCTCTCTCTCTTTCTACCTCACTCTGCCTCTTTTTCTTTCTCTGGTCATTCTAAACAGTGTCTCACAATTAGTCACAGTGAGGAGCACATGTCGATCCTCGCGAATAATTCCGATACTTCATGAAATCAATGTGTATTTGGAAAGAGGGACAGAAATGAAACGTCGCGGCGGTCGTAACCCGTTTTTCAGCATTTTCAATCCAATGAGAAAATGGAAGAGATCGAAATAATTACACGTGTTGCGCGAGTTTGTTGCTGGATCGTAGAAAAAAA